CACTACACAATCCAGTGTGTTTATGATTATAATAATAATAAAATAATATAACAACAAATACAGCATAATGGACTGTTTTTGTACAGGTAAAATAACCAGAAGCAATGGGAAGTCTTGGACATTCAAGCTTTATTTTGCTTTCACATAAAGTAGTTTTCTTTTGTTTGTTCCACTGAAAAAGCTTCATCCATACCTAATCTTTAATTACGGTGTTATCGTTCCATTTTCTAAGCAATCCTCAGTTCAGAGAAAGAACACGCACTGGCTTTATGCAGATTACACCTGTGGAGGGGCGTCTAATTAGATTTGTCTACCATGGCTGATAAAAGTGAGAAAGAGACACTACTGATTTGCTGATGGCCCTTACTGAGAGTGATATGTCTTCAGTATGGTGTTTTGCAGAGGGTTATGGGTAGAATCATGGTGTGTAATGCTGTTATTAGCCTGGTATCAGGATGACTGATAACAGAAGCCCACAGGAGCAAGTGACTTGCGTTCCCCGATGATTCTCTTAATCTTATGCCATGATGGCTATTAAAAAATTCCAATTTAGGCAGCTTGGGTGCCAGGCGGCCTACAGTAAGAATGGCTTTAATTGCGATGAGTTATCGCACTCGTTGTTGTAAACGGGAGCGGATCTTAAAAAGGGGTTTGCAAGTCTGACAAATTGATTTAATACCAATGTGATTCTATCTCCCTAATGATCTTCTGATTCCTCTTCTCCCAGGGTGTAGACGCTTGGATTTCTAAACACTTTTTAATTGCAAACCCTTTCCTTATTGTGTGAGCATGCACTTTTAGTTCAAAACGTGCACTGAGGCTCTGGCTCATTCCACAGTCCCAGTTTAGCTTCAGTATGATACCTCTGCGGTGGGCAACGGCTGATTTATGGAAAATTAGAGCTTTTTTGTGGAGTCAACAGTGTGTGGAGAAGAAAGGAGGAAATGAGGGAAGAGGCATATTGGTTCCTTAAATGCCTGACTGTGGATGTCTGTCAGTGCTGTTATTTAGTACCTTTGCATCCTTTGGGGATTCTGCATAGAGTATGCAACCCATCCAGATATCTCACAGCAGTTCCGCATCTTGCAAAATCAAGTCGTAAATTGAACCTTTCTCAAACATAGACTTCTGAAATAAAATGACTTTGTATGTTATTTTGCACACATATTCAAGCAATTGCTGCAGTGTAGCTCCTATGTATCCTCAATAAATAAATAAATAAATAGTAAATGGCAAGTGAATTTAGGCATAACATTGAATGGATATTCATTTTAAGATATACTTTTTTTTTTTGAAAGTTTGCATTTACAACATTATTAAATGTTTATAATATTAACTCTTGTTCAAAATGTAAAAATAAGAGAAAGGAGCATGCACAATTAAATATTGGCCAGTATATATCCAGTATCAGGTATATTGATGGATATATTGTGTCAGGTAGTTGATATTGTTGCAATGTCAGAAGAACCATTTTTGGTTCCCCAAATAACCTTTTCAGTGAACAGATCTTAACAGAAGAGGGGTTTTTTTTCTTCGTCCGAAGAATCGAAAGAGTTATAAAAACCTTTTGTGGAATGGAAAGATTCCATGGATGTTACACACTTAAAAATAACGTTTCCAAAAGGGGGTTTTTGTAGCAATGCCATAGAAGAACCAATTTGGGTCCCTCAAAGAACCTTTCAGCGACCAGTTCTTAAAAGAGCTGTTGTTTTTCTTAGTATAAAGAATATTATCTAAAGAACCTTTAGATAACCACTCTGAGGAAATGAAAAGGTTCCATGAATGTTTTAAGTTTTTCATGGAACCATATAGAGTCCAATAAAGAAACTGTTATTTTTAAGTGTGTACATCAATTACCGACGGATAAAATCCCACCCTACATTTGCTTTCTTCTTTATCATGCTGTTTTACTCAGCAGTGTTGCAGGAAAGTGGGCTGTGAATGCCATTTCATGTTGACTCAGTGGGCACTGTTGTACGTCTGTGACTGATTTACTTAGAATTGAACCGTCAACATTTTAGTTGGTATCCCACATTTACCTTGTAAGGATTCACCCGCCAAACCCAAAAAGCGGAATCCAGCAGCCTGGTCAAAGGTTTAATGCGTATTCGGTCTTTTACTTGCGCTTCTGAATTTATCAGGACTTAGTTTCAATTTTGTCTACTTTTGGGCTACAAGCTACAACATATTTACCTTCCATCATAAAGGCAAGCAAAGATCTCCTTCTGGAAGGATCTTCAAGATGTTCGTCCAGTCACTTTTAGACATATTTCCTAATTAACTCACACACCTGCACTTTAAAGATAGTCATGCAAACAATTTAATACTCTGCTGGATGACATAGTATGTCAAATAACTGACGCTGTATGTGTGTTTAAGGTCACCGAAACAGGCCTAACTACTTTTGATGCTGCAATGTACAGGCCACTGAAACCAGTCTCAGCATGTGTTGATGCAAAGCGCAACAGTGCATGTCGACATGTACATTATTTCACATATATTCATACTGTGTGGCTACAAGTACTGTTGGGACTTGTAGCCACACATATGAGAAGCTTAACTGTATATCTGTTTTTGGTTTATCTTTGTCTTCCGGCACTTCCTGTATAGTTTGGGAAGTGGTTATGGTGGGTAGACCACATACTATGCCTGCTCATGCACAATTTGCAACAAGTTAAAGACTAAATGGTGTGGGATCAAATAAAAATAAGTGGTACTGAAATATAGTTTTCATTAGTGGCTAGTTTGCGTTAAATATTCTCACGTATACTGCATATCCAGGGGCTACTTTCAGTAATTTTTCTCACAAGTGTGGTGGTTTATATTAACATTTAATGTTTAATGTATTAGTGCTTACATGTTCTCGAACCGAAACAAATAACAAGCATTCTTATATACAGTGCACCGTTTTTGTTCTGTAGAGTGGAAGTTACACAGCAGGAACACAAAAGAGAAATTTTAAACAACACTAATCACGCACTTCTTAAATGTAGCTTTTTTTTTTTTTTTTTTAGCTGGACAGCCCTAAAGCTGATTTAAAGAGAAAATGGAATTAATGTGAATTAATTTCAGTTTATTTAATGAATAAATTAAACCACACTGTAAAAAAAAAATGTAAGAAAATGTAGTAGTTTTTACAAGATAATTTTGGCAGCTGTGGTTGCCAGAATAATTTTGTAAAAAATACAGAAAAACTGTAAACACATTTACAGAACAAACTGTAAATTTTACAGTTTAAAACTGTAATTTACAAATAAGAAAATCTGAATGTAAACCAGTAAATTCAACAATGCACACTGCTACTAAAATCTATTTTGTACCTTTAACTCACTGACAACCATAATAATGCAGGTCGTAAAAGAGAAAGCCACATGAATAATCAAAGTTCATCAAGTAGGGCTGGGCGATAAAACAATAATGATAATTATTGTGATTTAATTTTCCTCGATAAAACGATCACAAGAGTTTGATAAATGTTCGATATAATTTTTACTCACTGATAAGTCTCGTTCACGCGACCTCTAAACAGTGCTGTGAGATCCAATGTGAAGTGTAGACAAATAACTTGGTGATTTAAACTAGTTGAAACAGCCAGATGAAACAGTGCTGACAAACAGGAGAAACACTGTTACACACAAGTCAGAAGGCTTTTCAATCTACAAATCGCCATCATTTACCGTGAATTTACTTTAGTAGCACTAACTGCACCATGGTATTTATTGTGGAAATGTGGGGTGTTCATATTGAATTTTATTATTATTAATGTAGACGTATTAAATGTATTAAAGGAGTAATGGAATATAAGTATTTTTTGTGATTAAGCTATAGCGTTTGTACTTTTATACTAAATGTATTTAGACTGCTGTTTTTCATACAAATACCTAGAAACCATATAGTTACATTTTTACTATGGTATTGAGATGCAATATGTGTGGTTTTTAACGGTGGTTATCATGATCTAAGTGTATGCTACTCTGGAAGACCAATGGTTAATTTTAATAAAACTCAGTCAGAATAATTGAATTTCACCATATAAAAATTAGATTGTTACATTTTTTACAGATGTTACTGTTTTTGATAATAAACATAAATTTACATCTGCATCCTAACTAAAGCTACTACTACTGTCAATTCATGCTACTGTCAAATGTGCATTTCTGAGAGAGAGAGGGGGAGCAAAAAAAGTTATATTAATATTGCAGCCTGCACTGCAAACTGTGCTGAAGATACTCGTCATCAAAGTCAGGCAACACAACCCTGTTTCATGATTCTACAACTTTCACTTAGGAGCAAAAATCTGCCTTTAAACTTGAAAGAAATAACAATTTTTAATTGATCATGATAATTATCGATATCGACTGATGTGAAAAAAAAAAATGATCGTGATTAAATCTCAAGTAGCTTTCCCACAAGCTGAAGTATATACTAATATACAAAAGGTGCACAGAGTCATTCACGCAAACACAAAACACCATCATGGTAACACACAACACTTAAATAATGCAATAAACATTCATTAAACAACAGAGAATGTAACATAAAACCCTAATGTACATAACTGATAACAAAAACTATTAAGAAACATGATTATTTAAATAAAATACTTTCAAATGTGGGGTTTCACGCAGGGAATTCTGGCAATATCAGTTTACAGTTTTCGACTGCACATTATATGTTGATTTGTTCTTTTTTACTTCTAAAAACTGTACAGTTAACAATTACATGAAAAACATTACATGAAAGGTCTGGTTAGATCTTTTATAATTTTCCACTGTATATAGTACGGGAACTTACTGTTAACCTTTTTAAAAAATTAATTCTTAGTATTTTTACAGTGTTTTACTGTTAAAAAGTTTTTTATTTATTTATTATTTTGTTTTTTTATTCATGATTCATTCTGAAGGTGCATTATTGTAACATTTGCTTGTCAAATAAACTAAATGTTTACAGTACTTTTGAAGGACACACTCACAGAAGAATACTTTTAATTTCTGTTTCAGGGAGGGAACGGGCGTCATGAGCATGTCACCTTCCTGACGAATGAACGGAAGATGGCACCAGCACGGAGGGCGAGCATTGCCGTGGGGGTCTTCATCGCCCTGCTGGTAGTGGCTGCAGTGGTCGGATTTCTTGTGTGGCTCTTCGTTGGTACAAAGATTCACCTATCATACCTAACTTGCTCTGAAATGATGAAGGTTACACACCTACACTGTTTAAATGCTGTTTAAATGTTTGGGGTCCCTTATTCTCACCAACGCTGAATTTATCTGATCAAAAATTGTATTAAAATTTAATATTGTGAAATATTATTACAATTCATAACTTTTCTATTTTAATGTATTTTAAAATGTAATTTATATCTGCGATGGCAAAGCTTAAATTTCAGCAGCTTATTTCTCCAGTCTTCAGTGTAAAAAAAAAAAAAAAATTGATTATATTATATATATATATAACACGCTGACCCCAAACGTTTGAACGGTAGTGTACAGTTCCTACGTTTGTTAATTAACAACATCTATCCCTCTCTCAGTCAGGAGCAAAGAATTGGAAAATGAGTCCACCATTCTTAAACACAGCCCATCCACACTGGTTTACAGCGGACAAATTAAGCTTATCAAACCAGAGTACAGCCCAGTGTACGACAATCCCGACAGTACAGAATTCCAACAAGTGGCGAGGGACTTGGAAAGAATTGTGAGTGTTTTTGTTTTTCTTAGACTTTTCTTTTGCTGATGGTGTTGTAAGTGTTCTGGTGACCTTGACTTTCTTTTGAGACTTCAATAACTGTACTAAAGCTTTTAAAGACTTTTAAGGGTCTTTACACTCCAAAGATGTCATAAAGCCTTCTTTGAGGTGACCTATGTCACAAAAAAAGGGCATGTACACTTATTGTTTGGATGCAATATATATCACAAGCTTGATTGTTGATTGTGTAGCCGACAGAGAAAAGGCTGTCTCTTATATAATGGATAAAGATGTACATTTTTTACATCCTCATGGCAGTGAGTGGCAGTCTGTTGTTGTTTTCCGTCGTAGTATATTAATTTAAAAAAAAATAATGACAGTTACTATTTTCAGACAAGGTAGTCAGTAAGTTTTGGTTAGTCCTCGCTGTCTCTCTGTGATGCACATGGTCACTAACTTCTGTAGACTCAATAGGCAGGGATGTAGTGTATTTCTAGCAGGCCCATTACTGTTTGATTTACTTTATAGGCTTTACCGGCTAGTCTCAAAGAGACTGTTCTATCAAATCTGTATATTTCTTCCAAATCATGCCAATAAACAAAAGCTGACTTTTTAGTTGACAGTCCCATGGGAATGTTGCAAGACACATCATGTCATATATATTTTATTGTGAAATAAAAAACACAGCAAAGAAAACAGACTATTTTAGGACTATCAATTTTTTATTTTTTAGTTATTGACAAACTATAAATAAAACATACGATAAGTTGTTTATGCGGTTTAAGGTTAAAAAAATGCATTATTTTCCACATACTGTATATTGTTTCTCCTCTATGCCCCGCCTTTCTGAAATATTGTTACTACTTATCATTTAACTTTTATATATTATTATAATTGTGTTAAAAAATAATCTACTGTTTCTTTTTCAGATGAACAATACATTCACCAGAGATCCCCTCTTTTCCAGATACTATACCAAGTCTGTCATCACTGCCTTCAGGTACAGCTGAACCACAGATCCTTGATTCAGACGAAGCTGAATTTATAGCATGCTCTCTAAATCAAATAGTTTCTAAATGAAAGAATAGATCATTCTTTGTCTTGATTTTAATGCTTAGTGGTTCTGCTGATAGAGATATATTACAAGTTTCACAGAATCTAGGTTAAAAAAAATCACCCTAATAGATAGGGATGGGCGATATCTTATCGTTTGCGATATACCGGTAATAATTCGTCACACGATAAGAATTCGTCTTCCCGCGATAATAACGATAAAGTCTAGTTGTTGACATATTTCTGTGCCTCAAAAGAGGGCTTACAATGACTTACAAAGATACATAACAGCTAAGTTACAAGTGTATACACTACTTGCTTTGTTAATCACTATACAGGATTTACCCTATTATACTTTATCGACACGAATTGATAGGTGAAACAACAAACAGCCACCCACAAATAGTCTAGAAACAAAGCATCAGGCTGTCTTTGAGTTCACATGAACAACGGTTAAAGTTACTCGTCGTCAGGCTACAGAAGAATACCATAATTCCTCCGTTCAGTTAGGCCTAAGACATCGAGAGTCAGGCAGACCTATAACAACCCAGTCACAACGCATAATTGCGAATAACATGCCTTACCTTAACACAGAATCGACCACAGAGTCCAACGTTTATATTTTTTCTACGAATCTTTGAGTTAACATGTACTAAACATGAGTGGAATTTGCACCGCAGCGCCCCCACACCTTGATGCTCATGACAAGAATAGCATAGTTATCTTTATTTAAGTGAATTAGGTTTAAACCGCCGTCATACATGAATGAATGAATATTTTTGCAAGTTTACACATAATAATCCACGATGATCACATTACACAAAACTGAAATTGCAAGTCAAAATCCCAAGATTGCTTGAAGAACACAGATACCATATATTTTGTGCAATGGCATGTATATTGTCTTCAGGTTTCCTCAGTTAAAATGTATTTATCTGCGTTTTATTCAGCTACAGCGATCACTGGATACTTCTTCCTGGAGCATTACTTCTACTATGCA